TGAGTGTAGATGCACATATTATTTTGGATACATACCCTAGATACATGGCCTCCTGTTATAGATACATATTATTTATGAAACTACATCTTATTTGTCGGAGAGTATTTTATTGTTTATTTAGTTACGGAATAGCGTATCGATGACATTACTTTATTATGAATTTTTACATATCACATTATAACACATTATATCACATTATACCAAACACGACTGAACTGAAATACGAGTAATGACTGAATAAATAATACGCGACGCTTATCTGTTTACCATTATGTAATATCGAGCTGTGACGCTTTGATTCTCATTATTTAGTTAACAATAACAATCAATATTGCTGATTGTGCAAAGTTGAATTTGAAGTGCTTTATATAGATTTTTTGCAATTAACACACTGTTATTAATTACGTGCGCCTCAGTTTTCCAATTCAAAACAATTTTAATTAGAACAATATTAATTATAAGATTATTTATGAATCTTAATATCTCATCACACCATCCCTCCTAAAGAAAAAAATTTCTCTCGAATTACCTCATTTCTCTCCTTTTTCACAGAAGAGAATTTTTTATCAACAACTAAGTATTGTATCTCTACTTACACAATATTTACATATATACAAATTTCCTAACATTATATCGCCATAATCTTAATAATTGTAAAAATAATTATCAATTTTACGCATATCTATTTATTTAAACTATTTTTGATACTTTAGTACTTTCTTCTAGCCTTTTTTTAGCTATAATTCATATTAATGTTTCTTTGCCATTTTTCATTTATATATCATGTATTTCATATATCTTTATCATATAATATTTAATTTATATTCATGTTTCATATAACTTCATTATTTATCATTCTCATATAAAATATATTTCATATCTACTTCATTTCTTTTATCTCATAATTCTTAAATTGTACTTTGATCCATATGTATAATCCGTATGGTATAGGTAGCTCAAAAGATCAGAACGACAAATAATTTATGCGTTTTTCTTCTACAATCACATATAACCCTTGATTCTTTTTTGATCTATATGCTTGTCCTTAGTCAAGATCAATTAACTTCAAAATACAGAATAGTTATATTGTAAGCTTCTAATAGTGGCAGGACTAATAGTTTCTAATTGTTTCATTATCTAATTCTTCAATATATATTTCCTCTTAAAATTCATTGCAATTCATTTGCTTATCCCGATGTTCAAATTAATATTCTTAATGTAATCCCTATTATATTTAGAAAACAAAATTCATTTAGATCTTATTAAAAACAGCAATATAAATATTTAGGTCCAAAAATCAATAATGATATTCAAAAATGATATATTTTAAAAATCAATAAAAACTTACATATTCAAAAACTCGAAAACTCTTCAAAAATTCAATATTTAATGAAAAAAATTCAAAATCTATTAAAAAAATAAACTCAAAGTAAAATCGAAAGGAAGTTTTTGATAAAAATATAATACGATTTACTTACATACTACACTTTTTTCTTTGTACTACCGGTAGGCTTCTGGGTGACGGTCTGCTGGCTTTGTTGTTGTCCCGCTGGGTTACCTCTTTCTTCCCATTCGATTTCATAATTTTACTGGTCTAGGATCGCCATATAATATAAAATAGAAATCCTGATCATATACGGTGACCCTGCCAGAGATGAATATAAAATAGATGGACATATTCTTCTGGATACATACTCTAGATACATCGCCCCCTGGCGATGTTATTTGTGAAACTAAATCTTGTTTTTCGGAGATGTTGATTAATATACTAAACTGTGGTGTATCTCTTTTATTGCTTATTTAATTAGAACGGAATAGCGTATCGATAAAATTACTTGGTATGATTTTTTACGTATCACAGTACAAAACACGACTGAACGGAAAATTGCTGATCGTGCAAGGTTGAATTTGGAGTGCAACTTAGATATTAAATTAACACACTCTGTGTGTTAAATTAATTAAATTAATTATGTGCGTCCCAGTTTTCCAATTCAAAACAATTTTAATGTGAACATTATTTATGATAAGATTATTTATGTATTCTAATATCTTATATCTCATCACAGTCGTAACCACATGTCTCCAGTAGTCGACATTTGTCTTTGATTGAATCTCGGGCACTCGATTGGCTACAAACGTTTTCAAATGGTGATAAGATTTTTAGGAAGTTTAAGTTTAAGAAGTTTTAATTTTCTATAGTCTATACAGAATCTAGTGGAGCCATCTTTCTTCTTGACTATGACACTCGGATGATCTTGACAATCGGAGAACACCATGGACTTTGTTGTATTACTTCCTATTCCAGCATTTCTTGTACCAACTTATCTACTTTTCGTTGTACAAACGGAACTTTTTTGAGAGTTGGTTATGGCATCTCCGATACAAGATGCTTAAGTGTTACGTGTGGCCTGTTCTTCTGTACGGAATGGAAGCATGGACGTTAAAGGCCAGTTCCATTAACAAACTTGAAGTGTTTGAAATGTGGTGCCTGCGTCGAATGCTCAGAATATCATGGACGGACAGGGTCAGAAATGAGGAAGTACTCAGAAGAGCGGGCTTACAGGATAGGGAACTTTTTAATTATATAAAAAGTAAGAAGACTGCATACTTGGGGCACATTATACGAGGAGAACGATACATTTTTCAGCAACTGATACTCGAAGGGAAGATAGAGGGTAGGAGAGGTTTCGGACGTAAAAAAATGTCATGGCTGCGCAATATTCGACAATGGACAGGAATCCACAGCTATGAAATGCTTCGCAATGCTGCTAAAAACAGAATTATTTAATCCAGAATATTTAACATCTCACCTGACAAAACGATGTACGGTGGACGCCTACGCAGAAATGCACGGCACCTTAAGAAGAAGGTTATGGCATTTTTACCGTTTACGATGCTGTAACAACTTCGTTTGTCCATAGTCATTGGCTGCCAAGGAAAATACGTGTTCCGAAGTTTGAAATAATTTATAGAAACTGGCGTTCAATTTCTATTGAACGCTATGGTACCCAATGCTTCTGATTCTGGTCTCATATCAACAGGTACTATAGGTCTTGTATCGGGTTGTAGTCAAACATCTTCAGCGTAAATTCGACATATTTTTATTTTCTGCTGATACCAATATTATTTTTTCTTTTGTATTCGGGAGATTTGCTTTTAAATTCAAATTAAAGTTATATGATGAAGCAATAAGTCAAGATATTAACTACCCGTTTCTGATACGTCATATTCTGTTGTCCGAGTTGCAATATTTGACAGGGGATATTTCTTCTGTTTTCGGTGCTAACGTGTAATTTCTCTCATATTTCCGGATTGTAGAGGCAGATATCATCCTCTGATGGGTAATCGTGTGTGTCGCTGCAATATGAATAGGTTTTTGTCAGACTTTTCCAATAAACTTTCCAACAACCAATAGACTTTTCCTATTTTATTTCACTTGCTCAATTCGGATTAAGCCATCCTAGACTGGCAATAATTCCTGCGTACAATTCTCCACATCTCTTACATCTTAATGTGATTTGGTAGTCATTGCAGCCTCTATTCTGGGCCTCTATTCTTCGTTAACTTTGGCTAGAATATCACGTCACATTTATCACAGTCATTGGTGATTTAACTTTAATTTTAAAAAAACGGCTAGAAACGTTCTTGGCTGCTTCTAACTCAAGTACATGAGCCAGTGCGTCTTCCATATTTTTTTCTATACGTTCTCTGATTCTCTGGACCTGCCCTATTTCGATATCTCGTAGTCCGTCTACTAAACTCTGAACAAGAAGTCCTTCCAAAAAGTCGTCTAGTGCTGTTGAATAGGCTAGTCTGATTAGGCGTGAAACATCGACTTCGAACGAAGGCGAGGATAAGGAAGGCCGCAAATGTAGTTGGGCACATGGCCTTATCAATTTGCTGGATGAAGAAACAGAAAAAAGGAAGAAATTAGGGAAGGGGAGCATGTCGAATATGGGTCAAATGAAGCGATATGGGTATTCGACAATCTTTTCTAATTTTTCACTAACATTGTGAGTTATTACTCTTACCAGATGAATAAGTAATTCATTTATGACTACAAACGAAATGTTCATGGTGTATATTAACTATGTCAAAACTAAAAGTTCTATAGGCAGTAGAAATAAATGACACACTTATTCACAATCTATTTATTTAGTTAGCGACGACCGGTTTCGACCACTACAGTTTTTTGGTCATCAATCATCATCGGGTCACCACTAAAGTACAATCTATAGAATGCTGAAAATAATTATATATTGTAGAAATTTGAAAATGGATTAAAGACTTCGATTGTTATTAAATGGGTTAAAGAGTTCATTAATAATTTCTGCGGAAATTACACCAAAATTAGTTTTTCATTCTCTCATTTGCTAATTTTTTGTAACTTTCCATACAAAGATCTTGTTTCCAATCAATCACAACACAAAATAGCTTCTAGACCAGCTCCTCAAGAAACATCCCATTTAGGTCGATATATAATAAGTTGAAATCCCATATACGACACTTACGCATAGATGAGCATTTGAAACACGTCATCTTAACAACAGACCTTGTACCGTAACCTTGTACTGCTTATATTATTTTATACTAATTTCACTTACAACTTTCATTGAATAAATCAACCACCCCACCCCCTTTTTAACTAACATAAGTACTATTGGCACCTTTTGTATCATACCTGATGTAAGGTTTGTTCAAATTGTTCGAATTACAATATAATTGTTTTCAGCATTCTAAAAATTTGATTTTACCGGTGACCTGATGATGACTAGAAAACTATAGTGGTCGAAACCGTCTTCGCTAACGAAATAGATAGATTCTCAGTAAGTTTGTCGTTTATTTCTACTATCTAGTTTGACATGGACTCACGCGAGCAACCAATTCATTATTTTAAAAGTTCTATATTTGATGAACTATTATAAACTTAATGTTCACTCAAATACACTCAAAAGTAAATTCAGATTCGTTACCGTACTATTCTGTATATATTGTTTTAGGCGATGGAAGAGAAGCAATGGGATAAAGCCGTAGAACTTAGAGGCAAGTCTTTTCAAAGAAATCTAGAAACCTACAAACTATTAACTCGTCTAAAGCCACCAAAGGAATTTTTTGGGGATGGAGCCAAAGTTAAAGTAAGTTTTTAAGGATAATTTAGTAAAAAACACAATATTAATTATTTAAAATTCACAAAAATTTAACACAGTTTTACGGTTGGAAATTCGAATGTAATTATAATTTCGAATTGTTTTTAATGCTCTGTGTCCGTTTCTTCTCGATAGACGATGCTAAATAAAATGTTGAAGTCGTGGAGTAAAATATAGTTTTATTGACAGCTACTGAATTATTACAATATAGTTGTTGTTGAGGTAAAAATTTATACTAGACTGCGTCCCAAAGTAGTCCCCAAACTATATTTATCATCATCATCATCATCATTCAGCCCATACTAGTCCACTGCTGAACATAGGCCTCCCGTAGTTCACCCCACAAATTTCTGTCCTGAGCCGCCTGCATCCAATTTTGATGTGTCCGTTTCAGGTCATCCGTCCATCTTGTTGGTGGTCGTCCTCTATTTCTAAAGGCATCTTGTCTGGGTCTCCACTCAAGAATGCGTTTTGTCCATCTGCCGTCCTTCGTTCTCGCGACGTGCCCTGCCCAGTTCCATTTTAAGGTTGATATTCTTTTGATTGCGTCGGTTACTCCCGATCTACGGCGCAATTCTGTGTTGGGTATTCGGTCTCTCAGGGTTAATCCCAACATGGACCGTTCCATTGCCCTCTGTGTTGTTCGAATTTTGTTTGCGGACGTCTTAGTAAGTGTTAGCGTCTCCGCACCATAGGTTAGAACTGGCAGCACACATTGATCGAAGACTTTTCTCTTCAAGCAGATGGGAAGGGCTGATTGGAAAACATCTCTTAGCTTTCCATAAGCTGCCCATGTCAACCCTATTCTACGTATTAATTCATTGGTCTGGTTATCTCTACTTAAGCGAATTTCGTGTCCCAGATATTTGTATGCTGATGTTTGTTCTATACTTGTTCCAGCTATGTTGATGTTCTCACTCAGAACAAGGTTTGTCATCACTTGTGTTTTTGAGTTATTGATCTTTAAACCCACTTGTGTAGAGGCATGGTAGAGTCTTTCGCACATTTCGATGGCATGATCTATGCGGTCTGTTATCAGGACTATATCGTCCGCGAACCTGAGGTGACTAAGCTGCTCTCCATTTATGTTTATGCCCTTTTCGTCTAGGTTTGCACGCTTACACATGTATTCCAATAATGTTGTAAACAGTTTTGGCGAAATGGTGTCGCCCTGGCGAACACCGCGAAGAATTTTGAACTTGTGTGTATCTTCATGGAGTCTGACGCATGCCGTGGCATTATCATAGATATTTTTGATGACAGTGGTGTAGCGGTGATCTATTCGGCACTCTTTTAAAGCTTCTAGCATTTTCTGGTGGTTTACTGTGTCGAATGCTTTCTCATAATCCACAAATATTAGGACGAGGGGTTTATTGTACTCTATACATTTTTCGATGAGGCTTTTAATAACTTGTAGATGGTCGTTTGTGCCGAAGCCTGACCTGAATCCTGCCTGTTCGCATGATTGGTAAAAGTCCATTTTGTTCGAAAGTCTGTTTGTTATGACTTTTGTAAAAAGCTTGTATATGTGTGAGATGAGGCTGATTGGTCTATAGTTTACGAGATTTGTTAAATCTCCTTTCTTAAACATTAGAATGATCACTGCATTTTGCCATTGTGATGGTGTTGTTCCTCTTTCAAGGCATTCTGTGAAAAGTATGGAAAGCATTTGTATCAGTTTCTCGCCTCCTAATTTTATGGCTTCGGCAACGACCCCGTCGTCGCCAGGTGACTTGTTATTTTTCATTTGTAGGAGAGCTTTTTTGATTTCATCAACAGTAACATCTGGTATGTCTTCCGAGCCCTGGTTTAGAACCTTTGGTATGTTGTCAGTTGGAACATTTTCTTCTGTTTTGCTGTAGAGTTCGCTGTAAAATTGTCCGACAGTTTGTAGAATTTCCTGTTTATCTGTTATTATTTCGCCCTTTGTGTTTTTCAGTTTGTAAATATTTTTCTTTCCTATTTGCTGTTTCCTTCTGAAGACTTTTAAACTTTTGTTCTCTTCTATGACTTTTGATATCTCTCTGGTGTTGTAGTCTCTTATATCTTTTCTGATGTTCTTAGTGATTTGTTTGTTTAGTTGTCTCATTTTTGTTAGATTGGTTCTGTATTTATCTGTTAGTTGTCTTCTTTCCTCTAATAGAGTTTTCGTGCCTAGACTTAGTTTTTCTTCGTCTTTTTGGTTTTTTGGGCAACATTTTTCTTGTGCTTGTTTCAGAGCTTTGACTATTTTCTGGTTTAGTTGTTCGATGTTTTTGTTTTCTGTTTCTTCGTTTTGTAATTTTTCTTCGACCGTACGTTCAAACAGTTTTGCATTTTCAGGTGGTACCCATCTTCTAACATTTGGTTTAGGAACAAGCTTCATTCTTTCTTTTTTAACGTTAGCATTACTTTTGTTCTTATCATCCTATGGTCGCTGCCAGCAGAGAACTTGTTGAGTACTTCCACGTCTTGTATTATATATTTTTTATCTGTAATTATAAAGTCGATTTCGTTTTTGGCGGCGCCATCAGGGCTTATCCAAGTCCATTTGTTTTGGGGTTTCTTTTTAAAGGAAGAGTTCATTTGAAACATGCATTGATGATGTAGAAAATTTAAAAGCATGTCCCCTCTTGCGTTTCTTGCCCCGTATCCGTACTTTCCTAACGCGATCTCCGCTTGGTCTTGTTTGAATCCGAGTTTTGCGTTGAAGTCGCCCATGAGAACAGTATAGTGTGTTCGTGTTCTTTGTTGTGCCTCTGCTACATCCTCATAGAATTTTTCAACTTCTTCATCTGTGTGTCCAGTTGTCGGGGCGTAGACCTGTATAACTTTTAAACTATAACGAGAGTTTAGTTTTAATATCAATAGGATGACTCTCGTGCTTATGGTCTCGATTTTTGTTATGTTGGGTATGTGTTTTTTATGTACAATGATCCCGATTCCACCGCTGGATGAATGTTCCTCTCCTCTGTAGTGGAACAGGTGTCCTGATTTCAATGTTTGTTGTTCTTCTCCTCTCCTTCTAATTTCACTAAGTCCCATTACATCCCATTTTATTGTTTTTAATTCGTTTTCCAGTTCTATTAGTTTATGATCGGTTGAGAGGGTTCTTATATTATAGGATGCAAGATGCAGTATTCTTGTGCAGTTTAGCCGTCTTGAGTGGTAGCCTGGTCCATCCCGGGTATTCTTAGCACCCTCTGCTCTTAATCTTTTCTGTCCGCTACCTTGGTCAGAGATTTTTGAGCTGCCGGGGACTGAGGGCCGTGTTTGGTTTGTGTTTTGCATGTTTACGGGGGGTTTGGCCTTAAAACGCCACGCTGGCCAGACGTGCTGGCGAGTTGGGGGAGGATATAGGGAAGGAATTTGGGGTTTGGGTAGGATAATATTGGGGTTTGGGCCTGGTTTCCCCTAAGTAGGGAGTAGAGGAAAACCAGGAGCTCGCGTGGGCAGGGGCGCTACCTCCCTGAAGTAAGTCTACCCTCTATCGGGATCATAGAGGGGTACCTACCCGCTACCCGTAACTATATTTATAATCTCATTAAAATGCTACGATTTATCAAATAAGTATGCCCTCTGCAGAGAACAAAAACCTTTTGACTTTGAAAGCTGACAAATATAATTTGAACCGAGGAAATAACTGTTACAAACTGTAATTAAGCTACTAATCGATATGTTTTACACTTATACACGGTGAAACTATAAAAATTCAGGAAATTAAGATTTATGTAAAAAAGTTAATGGACTAATTTGTGATTGAACATATTTGTCACTCTATAAGAATCAGACGACCAATAGAAAATGTCTAAATACATAAAATATATTTTTTTTTATAGCATAATTTAATTTACAATCTGCTTCATCGAAGCTATAAGTAAATAGTTTGAATGTTAAATACATGAGGGAGAAGCTGCCCTGTGGCAACTCTCCTATTATATTTTTTACATTAGATCATAATATATTTAAAATACATATACATATACATATACATATACATATACATATACATATACATATACATATACATATACATATACATAAAATATAAAATAATAATATTTTAAAATAATCACAACAGTTCATAACATCATAAAACTACTTAACTAGGCTTTTGAATTATTATCTCACCCTAAAAGTGTTACCTATAACTTGAATATTTAGAATTTATTATTCAGTTATACTATCTAATTCAAATCTAAGTTCATTAAGTGAAACTGATCTAGGTGGGACTGTCCCGAAATTTCTACGTAAATTTCGTTGTGATATCGTATGTCTTCGAGGCGCTGGATAAGGTTGGATGCAAGAACCTTGATGCCTTTGTTTTTTGGCTCTATTGGCATTCCAAAGATTTTGACTACCTTCTGCATAATAACAATTAACATAACTGTAAATATAGTCACTAGTCCTGTGGTTAAATAAATTCACTAGAAATGGTTTTCCACGTGTGTTTTGTCCAACTGCTCTTCCTCAAGTACTATATTTGCAACTCACCTCCCCGAATATCTATATTATGTCCGGGAATGTTAATCTGTTTTATTATTGGTCTCTGTATAAGTTCTTTAATGGGGCTGACGTGTGTAAGTAATTTCCAATTGCTGTTTCAAATCTAATACGGGATGTGAGTAATATTATGTTCCGGGTCTGACCAACGTATTTTGGTGACAGCTTTATAAAACTCGTTTGATTTATTATATATTCAGATCGAGAACCATCGCACTCCATAGCGTATGGTGGAATGACTATCTAGAGGTTCGGTGTGCTCATTTTCAACCAACTGGCTTCCTTTATCATGTATTCTACCACAGCCACCTTTACTTCCAAGCCATGAAGTAAAAAAGGCAACACCGCATTCTATGACGTCGGTAGTCCGATAGTCAGCTGTAAGGTCTACCACAAAATTAAACTAATTTGAATTTTAGAAAACTGATATTTTGAAAACTTCAATTCATTACAGAAATATTTTTAGGGAAATTAAATTAATAAAACCTTATATACCTAATAAATAT